CGGCTCCTGAAATATTACTGGTGAAATAAAAGGTATATGACAATCATTAAGAGACGAAAAGCATTTGTGCACTGCACAATGTGTTAAACACTATCAAGTAGCAGTCTGCTTAAATGACCTCCTAAAAATCTGAGCACAAGGGATGGTTCCACACGCCTTGAAACCTAGTCTAGCAGTTATAGGTTTATTATAAATCATCAGCAAGAGTCAGTTCACTAAGCCTATTTCCAAGCAATTCATGTGTGTTCTGGCCCATTCCTGTAGTTGTTGCAATCGCCGACTAACCCTAACAAAGCCGGAAGAGCAGAGCAGCCCATATCTGTATTGTCTGGCTGCAAGAAATTCTGTCGCTGTTGTTCAGGATGACGGGCTTGCATATTACATACTTAATCACGATGTTTAATAACGGAAGAACGAGCATCATTTCTTGGCACACCCCGCATCTGAGATCAGCCAATCCAACACTGACCCTCCGTCCCGACCTTATTGTCCTCGCTGAGACCTGTTATCAAGCTTATCTACCCAGCTGGTCTGGGTCTCATGCTCACCATATCATCATAGTGCCGTTCGACTTTGAGAATTCAAAGGACTACTTCTTTAACGTTTCCGTACAATTCGCTGATTTTGGCAGTCACTGATCTTCGACATAAAGTTTACCCATGCCGCTTAGGTACTGATAGCTGGAATTTTATTTACCTCTGCTACTGTGCTGGTATGATGCAAGTAGCGTTTCGTCGTTTATGTGTACACAACCATAAAACAACTGTATACGACAGCAACAGACTTGTGCATGCCTGCACTTGGAGAAAAAATAGGCTAAAACTTGATATCTATCATCATGTTCGTTCTTACCTCTCCTTCCCATCCGCTTATGTCGCTCTCCATGATCTCGAGCTGCATTTCCTTCTGTTTCCGGACTTCGGTGCAAAACGCCTGTAATGCCGATCGCTGTTATCGCTATTCACCTTGTTTAATCATGTCCATCAAGTGACCGACAGCTACTTACGATGATATCGCGGAAGATGTAAACGGAGCGCTGAGTGTCACCTCGGTCAGGATGTGTCTCCTGAAACGACTCTGTAAACAGACTTGCGAATCAAAACTCACCACAAACTCTCAACAACCTCCAGGTTTCTTTCCAGCTCCAGCAGAATATCAGGATACTGTTCAACGTGACGAAACGGTCGGCTGAGCGAGGTGACCAGTGTCATTTCCGTCACATTTCTGGACTGCAGAAACTTCTGCAAACCATCCCTATAAATCAATCCCTCCTTTATTATTCAGTCAAAAAAAACGACCATCTCTTCACGGTTACATTTTAAAAAGGTCAGCGAAAGTCATGAGGTAGTGTTATCGAGGATAAGCCCTGACATTTGCATCTAAGATTTTTGTCGGAATGATCTCCTCCAAGACAAATTTGCTTACAGTGCATCAGTGGTTCTTTAGGTCCAGTGTAACCACTGCAACTAAAGTCGAATGTTTCGATATTTAAAAGAAGTCTCTAAGAAAATGACTCAGTGGCATTTATCACTTCGGTCATCTCACCCCTTCCCTGCTCTAATAAAATGCACTGACAAGCAGATCGTTACTGTTTGTCATCTACAGTTAATCAGATATTGCCTGCACTGATGCCCTTGCATCAGTAGTGTCTGATATGATGGAAAGTTTGTCTCAGATCTATCTGGAGGTCGATGACCAGTGCAATAGGGTCATATTTATTCAATGACCTTCTACACAGAAAATTTCTTTCGATGACAATTTTCTTAGTTTGTTGATGGTTTTCGGGATTTTTCGGCAATGTGTTTTATCATTCGACGCGTTGGCAGGCAGCGAACGGTTCTACGAAGAAAGTTTTTGAACAAATTTCTACTCTCTATGGAGATCGTTTTGCCAAACCGAGCCATCTGCTGATCTCACTGTGGCACGGCTGCATCGACGCATAATGAGCCTGTTAAAATGTCATGGCAAGTTTTCTGCTTTAAAGAATGATGATCCTCGACATAAGTAAAGTCAGATATGTAGTTTCCTGCAATTCAAATCGATAACTTCAAGCAACACCGCCTGAAACACCACATTTTCATACAATGGCAAGAAAACGAAACATCGACCCTCACAGGGAACCTGGCGCCACTCAGACTCATTTGCTCTTAAAAATAACATTGTGAGGGGAAATGAGGTGAACCTGCAAAACCATATCAGTGCATGGATATGTAAACGCCATCGTTCTGAAGGTGAACAGTGTAGTCATACAGCTTTACCTGTTGATGTTCATGACGGACACAGCGGCAGGATGATTGTCGCAATAGTCATGCAGCAGTTCTTTTAAGGTTTTTGCAGCATTCATGAACTGACCGCCAATACGCCGTTCATTATCCAGTTTTCTTAAGGAGAAAGCTCCTTTAAAGTAAGTTAGTAAAATTCATAACGAACTCCTTACTTGACTTCTTCATCCAACGAAGCAACAAATTCCTTCTGAAATCGGATGATCGCCGGCAGGTTTCCAATCAGAGTCTCGAAATTTTCCTCTTTTAAACTAAATCGGTGAAGAATATTCAACTGTTAGGAGATAAATCACAAGGCCTAATTTCTTGGGAAAGTAACAATCAAGATGAAAAACTTAACATAAGAACACAGACAAACAACAACAACAAAAAGAATGGCGCTTACAACACAGCAAAGTCAACGCACTGTGGCATTTTAAAACAAAAACGTGGATGGTCTCATCCATTAGACTAAGCACCGCAGCAGGTATAACGGATTGGAAGAAAATTTTCGCTGAACATTAAACACTCAGGACGTCTAATCGGTAACGTTCGAAGGTCTCGTGGAAACTTGTCATGCGCCCTGTTTAGTCTATCATACTAATATCATTGGAAGAAATTTCATTTCAATCAATACGACAATGCATCTGTTAGTGCAAGTTGAGCAACATGAATATAAACTGATAGTTGATTTACATAAATATAAATTTTGGAACAAACTTGCAATACATCCAAGAGCAATGGTTATGCCACACGTCGTCTAGTTTCGTTTGTATGAGTTATGTACTAACTAGTCTATTTCGGCACATGATTCAATATTTTGAAGTTTTGCAACAGCAGATAAAAAGAACAGTCTTTATTACTCTACACAAAAAATGATGCAGCATGAATCAATACAGTGCAGAAACTAGAGTTGTACTGAGATCTAGAGCCATTCAATGATGCTCTTCATATCCCGCAGCAAGGGGGCGGTGTGCCAGAAAATCCAGTTGTTGCTCGTTCACATAGAACAGCCTCTTCGTAGCATATAAACCGTGATGACTTTAAGTTAACAATCAGGTGAGTCAAGGTGAACTGTCACCGTAAGGCGAACGCATAAAAAAGCACGGCCGTATGTCTCGAAATTTCTAACATGACCACATCAGAATCATGTTGTTCACATTGTTCTCAAATTATCGGCGTCATATCGAGGTTTCTCTGCTGGCTGCACCAAATCACAGCTGGGTGAATTCCCTTGTAAAAGGGGCAGGGAAGCAGCTACGAAAAAATCAACACCATGCAAGATTTGAAACTGGCACCATTAAAGTGCACGATAAACATCTTATTTATTGCGCCACAGTCCTCTTCATCATATAATGTAGTTATAATTTCCCAGCCTATGCCTAGACCACACTGGTCAGCATTGCTAGGTCACCAGATGTCTAGCGGTCCTTATACAGAGTAGTGCGAGGGTTGCCAGCTGTAAGATAGCAAAATGAGGTTGCTGATTTCTTCAACGTCAGCTCGCCACGAACAAATTATCAGTAGCACTGACGTTACTGTACCTTTCGAAATAAACTAACAGAAGAGCAATCCTTATATACTCGGCGGAAGAATGCGACTGTAGACTATAATGTCGTATTGCAGTGGCTGATGACCAACGGCAATCTGGCAATAAGAAGTATTGTAGACTTTGGGCACTGGCAACTGTTGCTGACGCAAATTTTCGCAACTTTCACTTCAGAAATTGTTTTATCCGCTTCCTTTTCCTATAAATCAGTTTTTATCTTTCACCAACGTGCTAATCTGCTGCGGTTAGCGTCCTTCAAACTCAATTCTTTCATAATCCAGTAACTGTCAGAATATTTCTCGCACTGGCAGCAACTTGTAGCTGTGAAAAAGAACTACAAATCAAACATTCGCTTGAATAATACCAGAGATCTTCAATGCTTTGATTGACACCCACTCTCTTTACCTTCCGTACAGTCGCCTTCAGCTTTGAGAGCTGATCTTCTGCATCAAACTGCCGATGACACTACTGACGTCTGCTCAATGTCATCCAATGAACTCAATGCATACCAAACCACTGTCAACGAGACAGTGGCGTGATCAGTAGCTCAATACGGTTAAGTGGGCTTCTACGCGTGCTAAACTGATGCTTTGCAGCCTACTTCCATCTGTGTTTTGATTTTGTAAAGTTCTTAAGCCACAATAATTACCGTTCAGACTTACGATCAGCAGCATGTTGTTCCGTTTTGCACGTGTCTAAACGATGATCGTGAAAATACAAAGACAAAGACGTCTGTCTATGAATCGCTGAATAAAACCAATTTGCAGAAACAGCAGCACAGTTAGTGAATCTTTCTTGAGACGAATGGTAACATAAATTATATTACTTAATAAATAACAAGACCTCTTAGATGAAAAATCACAGAGAATGCTAACCGTTATTATCACCAAAGTCTTGTTCTCTACTGATCGAGAATAACGGAGACACAATTTCACTACATGATCATTCCAACAAAAATGAAATCCTACCACAAATCAATGATGCTCGCGGCTATGACCATGTCTGTCGACCAAGCTGCCGTAAAATATCCCATTGCACTATTTTTTACTACCCGAATATGAAAATTTGCATAAACTAGTTACAGGCAGATTCAGACTTACTTGTTACGTTCCATAAACCTTTAAGTAAAACGAATTTTATGTAAAATTTAACTCACTGCCCACCCATTAAACACGCTCACTTGGTTACAGTACGCGAGTATATTAACATGCTTTAAAAGTTACTTCTGTTAGTTTCATCTACAGGATCGGCACACAGATTAGATTTCAAATGCAAAATAATATAAAATAGCATAAATAGTGAGAGAATATAAAACTAAAGAACTATTTAATTTTGCAATTCAACTTTCCTTACGAAATAATCAAGAGATGATTGAATACTGACAAAAAAGGGAGATTCCGCATATTCAAATGTTCCCGTGTACGGGTAGCACGCTTCACAGCTGTATTCACTACTGAAAGTGCGAGACCAAGATCACGTCCTATGGCCATTCAGCTTAGCTCAGCTTCACATTTCTATAAAATTTTTATCTCTAGTTCAATTTTGATGCATGTACGCATGAGTTCACTTTATCCAATCATGATTATACTGCGCCACTGTGCAGGCAAACTCTAAAAATTATCAAAGTGAATAAATACAAATAAACAGCATGTCCGCATCGAACTGTAAACAAAGCGAGAATGAGGAAAGCGCGCGCAAGCACCAGGTGGGTGGTGCGGAAGACCGCCACTGTTCGGCGTGCGAGTAACGTAGACGGGTTAAGTAAAATTTCTGGAACTCGAAATTCTTTAAACTGTCCTTTCAGGATAACAGGCGTGAGTCCAAATTTTTTAAATCTGGGTCTGACTGTATTAACATATCTTCGTGCTTTTACGTTTTGCTGGTACTTTAACGAGCGACCCGAAAAAAACTATATTGTGGTTTTTAGTTTAAGGGAGTAAACAAGTTGAGTATATGGAAAGAACCTGTCACTGTCACATTTACTGAAAACGTTGTGAATCTAAACTAGTGAAAAGATTCGGTATTCGATGGTCACGCCTTTCTGAGACATGTAACTGAATATAACAGGAAAGGTTGTGTCTCCACAAAGCTTGGCTGACGCAGCTGGTGTTTGCTGCCACACACTTGTCGCGTCCGTAATTGTGCTCAAAACTAACACAAGGTAACGAAAGATCAAAAGCGAGCGCGTTACATGTGGTTGGCCTTGACCGGCAACAGGTAGGAATTCATGCACAGCTCCAAGTCGCTCAGATGCTGCCTCTCCGATTTCATCAGGTCTTGCAGGATCTAGAAAACGAGCCCTAGTATAAGTGACGACGAACGTGCCATGTAGCAACGTTCAAGTTCGTACCATGTTTCGATAGACGGCTCGGTTTTCTTGAACTGTCAGCGGACCGATATCAGCGACGATCCCGTTCTTGACCACACGCTCCAACGCATCTGCAACAACAGTCTCGTTACAACCAAGAATGTGCATCTAAACCGAATCCGAATCCAAAATCGGCCGCAAAGTCACCTGCACTAATGGCAACCACGTAATTGGCCGGAAACCAGCCAGTGTTGCCATTAAGCGTGCCTTCCCACCAACCGCCATCCGGTTGTTGAGTAACCGCAATTAAGTCTCCCTTCTTGAAGCACAGCTGTAATTGGCAAGATCAGTGAATAGAAGACCACGAGAAACGGTCGGCTGTCCAGCTGTGCGTACCTCGTCATTATTCCTGCCTCGAAAAGTGTGCTTTGCTCGCACAATCAAGACGTTGTCACTTTCGCTCGAAGATCCGGCAGTATTCATGGTCGCTCGAGGACGCTACGCATTTCTTCAGCCATTTTGTCTACGCGCTGAACCATTTGCCGACGCGTGCTATTCGATTCACGGTCTGATCCTACAATAAACCAGCATCTTCCAGAAAGTCAACCCAACAATTGCTGAGTATATCATAAATAAATTAGGCATGTCAGCGTAGTTTTTCAAAAGTACGTTCAACGAGAAAACAAGATTTACTACTCTGCATTGTTACAACTTTAAACGTATAGCCATAATCAAATCCAAACACAGAAAAGAGGAGGGTCAGAGTATTTCAAAGATCTCTCTAAAACATTTTCAGCGCCTTTCCTGTGCTCGGCATCGGTCAGCTGGTTCTGCAGTCGATGCTTACTGCCTTCATCTAATGAAAAAAGCTATGCGTTTGGTCTGTCGATTAGTCGACCGCTGTACCATCTAAATAATTACCCTTGGAACGACCTCAACAGTGAACATACGTATTCAGTGACAAATAAGTCATGTTGGCCAACGAATTAAATGCCAATTTCAAGGGCCTTGCCCAACTAGTTCAGTAAAACAGGATATAGTTACATGCGTATTTCTTCGTCATGGATGCATCGTTCACTTTCTGAACTTTGTGCTGATAAGCACATTGGAGAGTCAGCTATGAAGTGGGTCAAGAGAAGGTGCAGTCAAGAGGGGCGCTCGCATCGGACAACATGACCGGGCACCTCGTCTATTCTCATATGACAACACCAGACTACCATGCTGTCCCTGCTGTTTGCAAGTCAACGATTTGCTAAATGTTTTTCGGATAGTTGCACCAAAGTAACGTGGGGTAAATTCCTTGCTCAAGAGACCTCGAGGCTAATACAGAGACTGTACCTTCCAGTATTTGAACCTTGCATCTTCGGAATTCGAAGATGACCTCATGGCCACTGTGACACCACGCCCATTTTCTATTATTAAAAAACCAAAAATCATATATTCCAGTTATCCAGTTATTATCCTTCTACTGGGATAATTATAATTTTCCTTTATTTGCCAACTGCAATGATGTTTTGATTTTTCGGGGTTAGCTTTCAACAGGGTCCTGCAAGCCCTTTTTTCGTCAGCGAACACACCAATGTCACAGATCACGCGCAAACCGTTCAATATCACCATAGAAAGAAACTACTTTAAATCTGTTTCAACTTTGCTTTGAACATAAGAAAGCGTGAAGTCCATCTGACTGCTTTCATAAACCCTGACTCAAACCGTTGGCCTAACTTCTGTTTTTAAAGCTTCAACACCTATTTCTAATAAACTTTCATAAGCAATTTCATCACTGCCTTTGATACTGTTCCCGAAAAACCTCTGACTGATTCTTGTCGAAGGGAGCAGACAACGATCTAAGAGATTGATCGTCAGGGTGAACTACGGTAGGTTTTGTCTCCCTTTTGCCACGTTCTGCAGTTTAGTTATCAGATAGCAAAACGACTTAACACAAAGATGCGCCGTCAAGATCCATATGTTCCAAGCCTAAGTGATTTCTTTAGGGCTACTTTAATGCTCGGTTGTGTTGATTTTGTTGAAAGCAGCGACAGATGTGCTTCGTCGAACAGGAAGGTCTGTGGCTTTTATCTGTTTCCCGAACAACATCAGCTGCGATCAACAGACACAAAAACTACAGTAACCAATGTCCGTATTGGTTTATCGTGATAAATGATCATTACGCTCTGTGTAAAATAAACCTTGTTTTGTTGCTTCTG